ATATACCGTAAAAGGAAAGAAAGGAGGAAAATGGCCCTGTGCTTTTGAAATCTAACTTCCTTCTAAATGAATTATTATTTAATATCAAAATCGCTTTGTCTATAAACTGGACACAACTATTCATCTGGTCTTCTCTATACTAATGAGTTTTTTTTTTGTTTTTGTTTTTGTTTTTAATGTTTTATTTATTTCTAGGAGAGAGAGAGAGAGCATGAGCAGGGGAGGGTCAGAGAGAGAGGGAGTCACAGACTGAAACAGGCTCCAGGCTCTGAGCTGGCAGTCAGCACAGAGCCCGACGCGGGGCTCGAACCCACGAACCGCGAGATCATGACCTAAGCGAAAGTCGGACGCTTAACCGACTGAGCCACCCAGGCGCCCCTATACTAATGAGTTTTTAATGAAAGAAGAAATCATAACAAAAGCACTAAGGCAGATCTCAGGAAAAAAAACCCTACTTTTCTTTGATTTTTTACATGTAGCCTCCTACAACTGAAGTTCACACAGTCCAAAGGCGAAGTTCACATAGCCTTCACTCCTTAACATTTGTTGGAAGATATAAGGAGAGGAAGCGTGCAAAGTCCACGTGGTCTTAATCAAATTCTTAAAGTCCAATCCATGAAGAAAAGCTATATCGAAGCTCTACTTTTAAACACATGATCAGTATCACTTGAAAAAAGATTTTAAAAAATCCTAACCACACTCAATTTATTAACGGCAATAGTACATATTATCTTCAGCTATGGAAATAACTTGTTTGGACTATAAATGGATCTGTGCTCCCTTAAAGAACACAATGCAAGTAATTAAGCACTAAAGAGCAGCAGAATATATGCCCTTATTTGTTACTAAAAGCAAAAGTAATCATTCTTGAGAATAGTCTCATAGAATTAATATTTCCAGAGCAAACATATCCACCCACATACTGGAATTCAAGAGTGGGAAATAATGGTTAGGTATAAAATCTTTAAACAAAGAAAAAAACCCTTCCTTGACATTATATTATATGCTGAGTTTAACTGGAAAAGAAAACACTTCCTTTCCATAGTTTCTTCTTGCAAATACAGAGGAAGAAGATATTAGCAGGAAGAAAAGGAAGACGAGCTACAAAGCAACCTATGGCCCTTTCAGTTTTCCCACAGCAACACATAAACCAATCTGACCAAAATATGAACATTATTCTCTTTGGGACTGCCACTGTACCGCATCCATGCGGAAACTCTGTATGTCATTACTGTTCTTCTGAGTCTCAGGTTTCAGAAGCATGTTCATTTCACTGCCGCAGCATAGTCCCCTAATTGCTCTCTGTAATTTTATAGTTTAGCCCCGTTTAGGAGCCTAGACCTACAACATACCTTACAATTATTTTTTTAATTGAGCACCTTAATTCCCAAAATGTTAGCTTTCTTAATGAATTTAATACGATGAAAAAAACATTTACTTATCCCAGAGTCCTATACTTTCAAGGCTCAAAAGACTTTTCTCCCCATCTTAAGCTTTTTAAAATTATTTTATTTTTATTATTTTTTTTGAGAGAGAGAGAGTGACAGTGCACATGCAGGAGTCAGGGAGAGGGGAGGAGGGAGAGAGAAAATCTTAAGCAGGCTCTATGAGCCCGAGGCATGGCCTGATCCTATGACCCTGGGGCCAGGACCTGAGCCAAAATCTAGAGTTAACCTTCTGAGTCACCTAAATGCCCCTTAAGCTTTTTTTGAAGGAAGTTTTAATTCAACTTCACGGAGCATAAAAAGGTAGTGAGATATAAGACAGCGGAGTATACTGATTTAAAAAAACAGCAACTGGGGCGCCTGGGTGGCTTAGTCGGTTAAGCGTCCGACTTTCGCTTAGGTTATGATCTCGCGGTTCGTGGGCCAGCTCAGGGCCTGGAGCCTGTTTCGGAGTCTGTGACTCCTTCGCTCTCTGACCCTGTCCTGCTCACGCTGTCTCTCTCTCTCCCTCTCTCGCCTAGAAATAAATAAAACATTTAAAAAAATTTTTTAAAAATAAAAATAAAAAACAACAGCAACTAACATCGCACATAGCAACGTGAAAAGCGGTAAAATTAAGAAAAGATGAAACTCTCCCCATTGACGTGATCGGAAGAGAAAGATCAGTGAGAAAAATTGCCTATCACCCCAAAACATAAATTATATTCAGCATAATTAAAATATTTAAAAATAAACGAAATAAATGCTTATTGAGTATCTAATATGTGCCAAATACTTTGCTGTACAAATGAGTCTGCATTATGAATTTAAGTTAACATGGCCCTTAAGCTAGTTGAGTTCCTTGGCTGACTTATTAGAAAGATAAGGATGGTTTTTGTGGCAGGGGACATTCCCGGGCTCTAGCATGTGTCAGAGATGGTGCTCCAGTCTGGTTCTGCTAAGTACTTGGTGTGTGACCTTGGGCAAGTAATCAGGTTCCAGTTTTCTCCTATGTAAAAGAGAGGACTGTAATAGTATGCACCTCACTGTGCCGTTCAGGAGAATTAAATTAGGTATTTCATGAACCGTACTTAGCATGGTACCCAGCACATAGTAATCACTTAATCTTAACAACTATTAGAAGCAGTAAGTAGTAGTTTATTGGTATTATCATTTTAATCTAGAATCTGCAGGGCTAAAATGCACTCTCCAGCTGCTAGTGGTTTTCTGAATGGTATAGTGTAATTCTCCATTAAGTCAGGCCCTCCCACCTTCTTGGGGCTAGAGTAACAGAATCCACTTAGAATAAACCATATAATCTATATTAAAAATCCAATGTTAAAAATATTTTCTACATTCTATAGAGTCTCTATATCCTGATATTCTCGTGATGCGAAATATCAGGGAACGAAGCAGTGCTTGATTTGGTTGCAGCACTGATGAGTTCCACTTAATAAACCTTTACAACAAAGGCTTGTGAGTCCCCATCCAAGCCACGGTCACTCAGGATTGCGACAGAAACCCTATATTGCAAGACCAGAAGAAAAACTAAGTTATAGCGATAGTCCTTTTGTTCTAAGAACCTGAAACTAATGGCCTCTCTGTTGCTAAATTCCACATACACTTTTCCATCCTTATCTTACTTAACCTCTCTGCAGTGTTTCATACTGTTGACCACCTTCTCTTTCTTGAAAAGCTTTCTGGCAGCTCTGTGGCTTCCCTTCTCTTGCTCCCACACTTAAAATGTCAATGTTCCTGGGGCGCCTGGGTGGCTTAGTCGGTTAAGCGTCCGACTTTCGCTTGGGTCATGATCTCGCGGTTCGTGGGTTCGAGCCCCGCATCGGGCTCTGTGCTGACTGCCAGCTCAGAGCCTGGAGCCTGTTTCAGTCTGTGACTCCCTCTCTCTCTGACCCTCCCCTGCTCACACTGTCTCTCTCTCTCTCTCCTAGAAATAAATAAAAAACATTTAAAAAAAAAAATGTCAATGTTCCCCAAGACTTATTCTTTAAAAACAATTTAATGTTTTATTTTTGAGAAAGAGAGAGACAGCGTGAGCAGGGCAGCGTCAAAGAGAGAGGGAGACACAGAATCTGAAGGAGGCTCTAGGCTCTGAGCTGACTGTCAGTACAGAGCCTGATGCGGGGCTGGAACCCACAAACCATGAGATCATGACCTGAGCCGAAGTGGGACGCTTAACCAACTGAGCCACCCAGGCGCCCCAAGACTCTTATTCTTATTTTGTAGGGATGCAAGCTGAAATACCTAACTGGGCCACAGGGGTGGGACAGGGACAGACTTTGGCTCATCTAAAGGTAGCTGACTCAAACCAGTTCTAGCAAGTTGCTGTGATATAAAAAAAGAAAAGAGAGAGAGAGGGAAAGGAAGGAAGGAAGGAAGGAAGGAAGGAAGGAAGGAAGGAAGGAAGGAAGGAAGGAAGGAAGGAAGGAAGGAAGGAGGATAAATGCAGACCCAAGGTTTCTAAATCTTAGCAATTTTTCAAAAGGTAAATATCCAGATTTCTCATTAAACTGTTAAAATAGAGATGCGTGATCTGGTGCAAGTTACTTTATCAATCGGTTTCTTCATCTATGAAATAGCAGTGACAAAGTCACAAATTTTATATATATAAAGTGAATCAAACAAAACATTTCTACAGCCCATCTTATCTTCCGCTCTACATCTACCCCAAGACTACAGATTATGATCCCAAGTTGCAAACCACATGTAAATTGTAACCATGCATAAATGCATTCTTCTGGAGAAGAATCCAGAGTTCATCCGATTCCCCCAAAAGATTAAGAACCAGAGTAAGCCAAATGTTTCTGCTTCTACAGCTTCAGCTGTCCTCTCCACAGCATGACCCCCAAACTGACATCTGGCCAACCTATGCAGACCACTTTACCTCTGTGACCAGCCTTTCCACTGACTTGTCTCCATCTCCACTGTCACTGCCAATGCCTCAGTTCAAACCTTCCATCTCTTCTCAGCAGCTGCCTCTCTGGTCTATTCCAGTCTTGCCCTCCTTCAGTTCAATCTTTGTGTAACTCAGATCCTCTAAGACACAAATAATTTATTTGGCCAGAGCCCTTCAAGGTCTGCTCACAAATGTAAAAGGAATCCAAATTCTGGAGCCCATCACTTAAACTCCCCAGGACCTGGAGAGCTGACCTCTCCCCCTCCCACTATTTATTCCTATTCCTACAACTCCTACAATTTGCAACACAGAACACTCTTTTGTCCTCAGGCATTTATTCGTACCAGTAGGTCCCACCTCTCGGAATGCCTTTCTAACTCCTCCCATTCACTTAGGGCAGAAACCCTAAAAGTCTAGAACGCCTGGAAAGTCCTTCTTTTCTTTAAGGCTTACCCCTAGGCCAGAATAAATAGGTTCTCTTCCTCCAGGCTAATCTATCCCTTATCATTCAATGCTGTAAATGTCAGCCTCGCCCTCCCCCCAACTAGACTAAAAACTCCTCAAGGGCAGAGAATGTGTCTCCGTATTACAAGGCCACAGTGACCAAGAGGAAACTAATCCAGTAAATGAATGAAACAGCGTGGGTTCTGGTAACTCCCACCATGGCCCCAGGTAAACCTCCCAGGGTCCCAAGGTGAGCCCACCAAAGTCACAGACTTCCTCACAGCTCTGCAGCACACACACCAGCAGGCAGATAACTATAAGGCTTCCAAAGGAGCAGCTAGAAGTAAAGCGAACCCCCTTTCCTTGCCTACTGGTGCACTTACCAGTCCTTTACATCTGCCAACTCACAGAATCCAACAGCTAGACCACCATCAAGCCGCTGCAACTTCTATGAACATACTGCTAACTTGCCAGTGGCACAAAAACTTATTTCCCCCGTGAAGGTAATTATAATATTCTATCCATACTCAAATACAGTATTAGCATTAAATTCTTAGTAATACATACGGAGCCAAGAACTTATTGGTGTTGAAAACACATCCATAACCTGAAAAATCTTTAGAGAAAAATATTATATGGAAGTCACGCACCAGGCACCATTCTAAAAACTAAGCGAAATTCCTCATTCATTCAACTGTCATGGCAACCCTATGATAAAGGCATTATTGTCAGCCCTTTGCACAGATGAAGAAACCGAGACTTAACGAAATTAAGTAGTTGGTCCAAGTCATGAGAGATTCCAGGCCAGTCTGAGGTCAGAGCCCAAACACTTAACCAACACAAACTCCATCTCCACGCTCTTTAACACTGTTAAATGCAAGATCCTGAGACTGAGCTGCGTGCACATCCAATCACACAAGGAGAGAAAACACAACCAAAAATGTTAACAGTGGTTATACCTCCTGAGCGTGACAGATTGGGCTGAGTGGGATGAATGTGAGCCTGTATAACTTGTAGTCAGGAAAAAGCAAACAAATAAAAGAAATGGTATTTACATGGTTTTAATTTAAAAAAAAAAAAAAAAAAAGGTTAAGGTGGGTTAGAATAGTTAATGAGCACCTACCAAGAGCCAAGCACATGGGCCATCTCATCTAATCCTTACATCAAAAAATGTTCCATTTCCATTTTACAGATAAAGAAACTCTACATTAAGTAACCCTCCCAGTGGAAGAGCTGGGATCAGAACCCAACACCCAGTCCAAATGTGTCTGACGGCAGGATACCACACTACAAATAAAATTGAACCAAAAAGCTGTTTAAAAACCAATCACGTTCTGGGAAAGAATCAGAACCAAGTAGCCTGGCATAATAAGTGCAAGGTGGAAAAGAACGAGGCCTAAGGTTTTAACGCTAAGCTTTAGTCAATAGTTATCTCTGAAAGTGTCTCAAAAGAGCCAGAGGCAGTGTCTAAAACTAGCCATTACAGTGAGGACTCTGGGACAGACCTGTACCAGATGTAGTGGGAAGGAGATTCCATTCCTGTTTGTTTTGCAAAGCAGAGTGGTATTAGCATAAGTTAAATGGACTTAAATGTGACTCCATTGTATACTCTGCAGAGTATCTGCTTTGGGGACAATTTGCTGCCTCCAACCCAGACTCACCCATTCATCTATTGTTTACAAGTTACCAGGTGTGGGAGGGGGGAGGAGGGGGGAGGAGGGGAGAGGGGTGTTAGAAGTCTGAGACTGTTGCTAACTGTACTCAGATATAAGTGACCTCTCATTACCCAGAACTACTGATCCAAACCTGGACAGTGAGAGCTACTAACCCCTGGGGAACAGCTCAGGTAAGAATGAATAGATCAGCATTTTTTTTGAGATACCATGTTTGAGTGCTCCGACTTCAAAATCTTAAAGCCTTTCATATAAACTAAGATCTCATTTCTCCAAAATTGTAGTAATAGGATTTCTTGAGGAACATAGCTGGGGTGAGGGCATGCAAATTTCCTTGTACAGTCTTTCAGAGGAAATAAAACGTGATTATTTCACACTTAAAAGTTACAATCAGCATCTTCTTTTGAAACTGAATATTTAATAGTGAAACATACATTACCTTAGCAATCTAAAATTAATTCAATATTTGCCCTGAAAGTCTTATTAGTTTCAAGTAAAATATAACTTTTAAAATTACCAAATCCTCCATTCCTTCAGGACTAGAGTAGCCCATGAGGCAATTAGATTAGGAAATTTCTATAGGTTTGGGACAGAGTGGGAACAAGTAAACACTCTGGGATTTGTACATACACAGTTTTGGAAAGCCTGCGTATGTGAGAAGTCGGTAATATATTTAAAGATAACAAATTATGGGGCAAAGAGGTTTTTTTTTTTTAATCCTAAAATGTTCTAGGAAAAGAGTATCACTGAACGATTTCTTCCATCCAACATGCTCTAAAAATAAGGGCCAGCTAAAATACAAGTAACAATTCTGGGTACACAAGTACATGAGAACGTCCAAGTCAATAAGCAATTTCGATTAATCGATAACGTTGAACAACCATTAAATGTAATTTGCATTTCTGTATGAAATCCATACCTCAAATATCAAGCTTTCCTTAAGTAAAATGCTAACTGGCTGGATATCTATCACTGTGGGGAAACAGAAGGAGTTTATTTTAGGCAGACAAAAGGAAAAGACAGACAGGTAAGAATCACAGGAGCAGTCTCACTTCCACCCCGACAGAAGTCAGACCAGGTCATGGGTCATCCATAGCTCTCAAGTGCCAGCTTCGCACTAGGTAACGGTGCTGGGGGCGGGGGGCGCGTGTGGTTAGAATGTGGAACACCTCTGTGAACTACAGCCAGACACCGGGTGGGACACACACACAGACACACACCATAATGGCCTAGGGCCGCTAAAAAAAGAAGGGAGGGAAAAAAAAAAAGAACAAAAAAGAGGAAAACTAACTTGCAAACTGGCCCACACCAGGGGCTGGTCGCGGGGGCAGGGGACATTCACATTTCCACTTCCATCCTAGACAACAACCAGAAAGTGGTTAAGGGTAGCCACAGGAAACATCCCAACCCTGAAAACCAGTAAATCTAGATCTGGAAATTTAAGCTCTTTACTTTTTTTTTTTTTTTTTTTTTTTGCAACTTTCAAAGCTTGAGGCACCAAAATAAAACTAAAATTGAATCCGTTTAAACACAGAAAAAAAAAAATTACCAAAACCACAGTGTCAGCTATGCTCAGTTCCCGGAGGGCTCTTCCACAGACCCCTCTGAATTGTGGTAATACCAAGTTTCCTTAAAAATCCCCATTTTTCGATGTCTAGGGTCGGACATAAGAATATCACATCAATCCAAGTAGTTATTGTCTGAATAAATAACTCCTCCTTAAACTGTAGACTTGGTTTCGGGAGCTGCCCTGCCCACCTCCTCTCCCTCCTAATTTTTAATGCTTCCGAGCGTTCTGACAACCAGGGTCTCCCCCTCGGGGTCCGATCGTGTGTCTGATTCACCAGCCACTGACCAAATAGGACGGGAAACTCCCACGTCTGGGGGCTGCTCCAGAAATCCAGCCCCCTCTAATGACAGTCTCCTCGCCGCTCCCTTCGTCTCTCCCCTCTGCGGGGACCGTCCAGGAAAGGGGGCTTGCGACCCAGAGGAGTTCGAGACGAAAGGAGGGCGGGTGCTTAATCTGAAATGAACACCCCCGGTTTCTGGAGTAAGGGCTAAAAAGGCGATCAGGAGAGCCTGCCCAGGAGAAATGCCACCTGAATTTACCTCCTCCTTTCCCACAGCAAAAGCCCAGTCACTAACTAATAAGCTAAGAAATATATCTGGAAAACTTTTCCAAAGGGGCCGAGAAGGCCCTCTCCCCAGCCTGGGGGCTCCTGGGGGAGCGGCTGGAGTTTGCGGCCCGGGAAGGGCTCGCCGGGGAGTGGGGTGGGGCGCGGGCGAGGGGTGCAGGGGCGGAGTACCTTCAATGGACAGGAACTGGCAAAGAGTTGCAAAATAGCCGAGTGCTCTCCCCCACGCCCTCGGGGGTCGCGGGCGCTAGGACCGGGGCTCCCCGAAAGGAGGGCAACCCCCCAATTCGGGCCTAAAAGGAAACTTTCCGGGCCGCGGCTGCACCTGACTCCTCACCGCCCCTCCACCCCACCCCACGCCCGCCAGGCCGCCCGCCCCGCCCCGGCCTGGCCGCCCGGAGCGCGGAGGGGGATAAATAAATTCAACTATTACCGGAATCGAAGGGGAGGGGGGGTCGTCTGCGAGAGACCAGGGGGAAGGGCCGGGCGGGTGCCCATTCCCCACTCCTAGGCCCTGACGCCCCTGTCCCGGCACCCCGGGCCTGCCGCCCCGCGGGGGAGCCTCCCGGCCGGCGCACGATCCGGCCCCGCAGCGCCGCCGTTCCGCCCGGAGGCCCCGGGGCAGCCGGAGGGGCGCGCGGAGGCCCGGGGTACCGGGGCAGGGCGCGGCCGCCGCGGGGCCCGCCGGCCCGAGGCCTAGCCGGCTCCCCCCCAACCCCCCGCCCGGGCCCACACCCCCACCCCGGCCCGCGCAGGCCGCGCCGCTCGCCCGGCTCGGGCCCCGGCTGGACCCCCCCCTCCCGCCCGTCCGCCCGTGGGCGCCCCCAGGCCCCGCGGCCCCCAGCCCCCGCCACCCCGGCGCCGGCCCCTCTCACCCTTTCATTCTCTGCCCGGGGCCTGACGCGGGCCGGCGGATCCCCGGCCTCACGTAAGCGCGCTCGCCGCCCGCCCTGCCTGCGCGGCCCTGCCCGCCGCCCTACGGGAGCCCGGGGATGTGGGCCGGGCCTGGGGCCGCCTCTGCTTACCTTTCAGCTGCTTTTTTTTTTTTCTCCTTCCCCCCTTTCCCCTCGGCCGGGCTGACAGATCAGAGTGAGAGGCGCTGGCAATGGACTAGGAAGCTCGGCTGCCGCTGCTACTGCTCCCCCCTGGGCTCCGGCGAGAGCCTTTCCCTGTCAAGCAAGAGGGGTGAGGATCATATTTTTATTTTGGAAACTAAAAAGTGCTCCCAGGGTCGGTGATTATTAAGGGGAAATCCCTGAATATACTCTCCAGCCAAGAAGGCAGGGCTGCCGGGGCTGCACAAGAAGAGGCAGCAGCCTCCTACAGCACCACTACAGGCACTGCGAGGACATAACACCAGAGAGCCGCTCCTCTGCCCTCCGAAACGACAACTTTCCTACCATCTTGGAGGCAGAGGAAAGGGGGGCCGGGGGGAAAAGTGCACCCGCTCCCGATAAAGTACAAATTTCGACTTCTCCTCTCCGGAAGAAAGTCCATACGGGCCGTCTACACTGGCGCCTGGGGGCAAACGCAGGGAAGAAACTGGGGGTGCTTGAGAAACCTTTTCATTTGCACCTCGGGGGAAAAATGTTTCTGCATCTTCTGATGGAAAGAAATCTTTACAAGACACAGGTTTTCCGGTGATTATTGTTTTCTATTTCCTATGTGATTTTTTTTTTCCAGGTTGGTGGCAGTGGTATTTTAATTTTTTTTTTTTTTTCAGGCTAATAACGATTCTTCTCCATTGCGGATCCAAGTTCTGTGTCTGGTGGTCAGTTTATAAATGTGTACTTCAAGAGACTTCATAGCCACTGTATCTTTATTTGTCTATTGATATGTTTTTACCTGCATATTTGCAAGTCGCTTTACATATAAACATGTGCATTATATTTTCCACTCAAAACTGAGATTGCTGAAAGACATTGTTCAGGGATGTCTTTTGTCTCCTTTTCTCAAAGCCATGTAAATAAAATCTATTGACTGTCCAGAAAGGCATGATATGACTATTTATTTTTCACAGTACCAATGAAGGCAGAGATCACTGAGAGGTTAAATACAACTTAAGTATAACTGAGCACATTTCTGAGAATAATTCTCATTCTGTTATGGTCTACCCATGAAGAAGGGTTACTGTGAAACTGGAAACAGACTTGGAAAGATCGCTTTAGATTTTCTTTAACATTACTTATAGAGAAAATTCCTTATTATACCCAGATATTTGATTTCCTAATCAGAATCTTCAGGGTTTAGATCTTTGGTGCATCGCACATGTTGCTGTCCACTTTCTGTCTCACAGAATGGAAAAATGTGTGTTTTTGTTAGAGTTGATTGATATGTTGTTAGTTCATAACTTCCAATGTGCTGCCAGCTTGTATAAATCACTTTTAATATATTGCAGTGGTTGTCACGGATCTATTTTTTTTTTTTAATGACCAAAGCTTCCTAAATAAATGGGATCAAGGTTACAGAAAGCTGAGGTAGCAAAGAGATGAGGGAAGGGTGCCGCCCACTTGCAACAGTTCCCATGGACTCTTATTGGAGGAGAACAAATTACACAGCGATTTCTCTATTTTTGCGAAGAAAGAGAAGAATACCAGAAAATGATCACAGGGTCTTTTTGTAAGTTCTACAGGGAATGATGAACTGAATCTTGTACGAAAAGTTATGTTTCTGACACACGTTGGCCAACCTAGTGGGAACGCATTTGTGATATTAGTGCCTTGAATCAGCAGAATATTTCATTTCTCTCATTTAAAGTGTATCGCAAAGCATTTAGAAATAACTGAAGACTTCACTTTAAAATGTTTATTTCTTGAGATTCCAAATTTAGAAATTCCCTCAAGGTTAAAGTGAGTTCAGATAATGCATATATCAGATCATTATTATTTTCATGTTGACTCCCATCTTTGTCTTCTAAATCTGAATACAGTACCTGAATAATTTGGGTTTTCTTTTTGTGACCTTTTATTTTTCTCTGTAGTAGAAAAATCTGAAATCATTAAGGTGTAAAATTAACGGATTCTTACCATCTTGGAAACCTCAATTGTGAAGTTGTGTTCTATGTACAACTTTTAAAAAAAAAACATTTGGAGGGGCGCCTGGCTGGCTTAGTTGGTAGAGCATGTGACTCCTGATCTTGGGGTTGTAGGTTCGAGCCCCACGTTGGGTGTAGAGATTACTTAAAAAAAGAAAATCTTAAAAAAAAAAAAAAAATTTGGAGAGCAAACACATTGGTCATAACAAGAAAATTACTTCTCTTAATGTGGAACCCTAGTGGACTTGAAAAACGTGTTTTCGAACTTGTTCCTATATATGATGTAAACTTATAGGAATGCTTTACATTTTCAAGAAATTAAGATGTGTTTGCTTTAAGCTGACTGCACCCTTTTATGCAATCCCTCTTGTGACTCCAAACTTACTTGCGTGATAGGGATATGGGATATGGTGCATAATCTTAGCATCTCAATGTCTTTCTCTTTATAAAGCTTGACTTGTACATGGCTATAATCCATGATGTATCTACCAGCTGAGCTAAATAACCCAGACTTGGGGAATTACAGCTTAACAAAGAAAGAAATCTCACTACATTTGCAATATTGGTGAATTTAATTGGTCAGTGTTTCACGTGATAATTGAATTCATTTTAGGTGCTATGTCTTTCCAATTCCTAGATGCTGCAGGTGCAAACAGAATTACATAGTTAATCTTAAATAACCCTACTTTTGCTCAGTAAAATTCCCAATACTAACATTATTGAGAACCTAGTGCATTTTGGTAACCTTGCTGGACACTTGATGTATCTGCTCTCATTTAATACCCCCAAGAGCTCCAAACAGAGTTATTTTACCTTCTTTTCTCTCCTCCTCCTCCTTTTTCCTTTCTTCACTTAAATACTGTTGGGATAACTTCTTGGCCCTGAAACTTTCTAAAAAGATTTCAAATACTCCTTGTGCTCTAGAATTGCCTACCACAGCTCTATGTTCTATATCTGGAAATGCTAAATTCCTGCCATGTGCTCTGTGCCAAAACCAAATTTTGAGTAGCCAGCAATTGGAGTCCTCTTCATTAGTGACAAGTGGCCTGTTTCACCTTCGTGAGGTCTAGAAACTAAATCTATCCATTATGTTGAGGAATGCAAAAAAAATAAATATAGTTGTCAATTGAAATAGAACTGTGATTGAGAGACTTCCTCTTTTTTTTTTTAATGTTTTATTTATTTCTGAGAGAGAGAGAGGCAGCATGAGCAGGGGAGGGTCAGAGAGAGGGAGACACACAGAGTCCAAAGCAGGCTCCAGGCCCTGAGCTAGCTGTGAGCACAGAGCCCAATGTGGGACTCGAACTCATGAACCGTGAGATCCTGACCTGAGCCATAGTCGAACACCTAACCAACTGAGCCATCCAGGCGCTCCGAGAGACTTCCTCTTGATACTGAAAACTAACAGTATATGCTGTAAAGTACTAGCATAATTGGAAATGCTGCTGTTACCTGTGGTTGTAAAGTTATACTGTTTTATATAAAGATCTAGTTAATGGATGACAATGAACTGCATCTGTGAATGCCAGAGTTTTACCGTGTGTGATACCTGAAGCGGTAGTGTCTTTTAGTCTTTTATTCTTTTAATTTCAGAAGCCTTAATTTCACAAGCAGCTTGGCCTTTAGTTGAAATAGGAAATATTTTCCTTAATATTTTTACTATTAGAATCTTTAATTGATCTGTATTTTGGTATTAATGATTTTAATGTAAAAATTAACCACCTTATTGTGAACATTATATTGAAGTTAAGAAAATACCGCCTAGGGGCGCCTGGGTGGCTCAGTCAGTTAAGCATCCAACTTTGGCTCAGGTCATGATCGTGAGTTCGAGCCCCGTGCCAGGCTCTGTGCTGACAGCTCAGAGCCTGGAGCCTGCTTCAGACTCTGTGTCTCCCTCTCTCTCTGACCCTCCCCTGCTCATGCTCTGTCTCTCTCTGTCTCTCAAAAATAAATAAGTGTTAAAGAAAAAAAGAAAACAAAATACCGCCTATATCCTAAAAAGCTCTCATTCATAGATAGATTGTGTAGATTTCAAGGAAAAGAGTTATGCATGTTTGATATATTAGATATCTTTATGCGATAAACCATGCCTTTATTGGCAAATGTTTGCTGACAGAATCATTAAGTGTTTTAAAAGACATGGGCAGCAGACACGGTTATATAAATTACACACGGGAACTTTTTGGAGGGATAGGGCTATGGATATAAACCTTCTCTAATCATACAAATGTTTTTCCTGACATTTCTAAAAGCAGGTGCTACAGTCACATCAAGAGTCCCTAGCCAGTGTAAAAACTCCCAAGGAGGTGAAAAGGTAGGAGCGGGGTGTGTGGTGTGTGTACAGAGCCTAAAAGTCTTCAAAACCGTGCTGTGGTGATGGCCATAAACACAATTTTTTTTTCATTTTAAGCACTTCTGTTTTGGAAACATTTGTTGGTAATGTTTCTATCGAAAACAAAGATTTGGCTTTATGGTGGTTACCGTGTCCTGCAAGAAAGTGTTTCTGAGAGCAGCATATTTGGCAGACTTCCACCTCATAGCTTTAGATGAGATTGTTTTAGTATGACATTTCTGTAATATAGATTCAACTAGAGTCAAAGCACACATGATCAGGTAATCTCCAAGTTCTAACACCTAACCCAGGGGCACTGAGACATGATGCCAAACCAGAGATCAAGAAAAGTTGTTTGTTTTTTAATCCCCACAAGGGCCAAAAGATATCCTCCAGGAACCTGATGGTCACTGGCAGCAGCAGGGGCAAGACATGTCCCTGGTGCCCTGTCACCGCCGTATCGTGCTGTAGGCAGAAGAATGTAACAGCCCAGCTGTCTGCATTGATGCTTGGAGTTGAGCAGAATTATAAATGATGGGCAACCTTTGCTATGATTTCAAATCTGTCCCCAAAGTGGTGGTTAGCTAAAACATTGTAGTAAGAAGAGAAGTCCATAGAGCCCTCAGAATAACAAGCAAAGGTCAACACAAAGATTACAGTGTTCATTTCTGCTACATTCCTGGTTAAGGGAACTTTTGTAGACCCACTGGGAACTTAACCACTATTTCCATGGGAAAATAAATTCCTGGTTCCAAATAGCTCATCTACAGTGATGTTCTGGAAATGTCCGTTAATTAGTTTGGACTTGCTACACTGTAACATCTTTGTCATGTATTTGTTACAGACTGCCAGAATTCAATAGTAAGGTTGGGGGAAGGGGGTAAATTCTCTCTCTCAACTGAAGTAAGGAGTAACTTGGGCCACTTGGGCGGCTCAGTTGGTTAAGCAACCCTCTTGATTTCCGCTCAGGTCACGATCTCATGGTTTGTGGGATTGAGCCCCAGCTCAATGTCTGGATGCTACATGAGCTTACAAGTAGGTATTTGCTTTTTTTTTTTTTTTTTTTTACTTTCTTTTGAGAGAGAGAAGAAAGAGAGAGAATCCCAAGCAGGGTCTGTGCTGGCAGCCTGGAGCTCAGCACAGGGCTAGGTCACACAAACCCGTGAGATCATGACCTGAGCCAAAATCAAGAGTCGGTTGTTCGACCAACTGAGCCACCCAGGGGCCCCTGCATTTTGTTTTATTAAGGAAAACCAGAAAAAGGAAGAAATGAAGGGACGGATGTAGATAAGATTCTACTAAAAATTATCCAACCTCATCCCTCGATTAGGTCGTTGCTGTTTTGTTTTTAAATTTTTTTTAATGTTTTTATTTATTTCTGAGAGAGAGAGACAGCGTGAGCAGGGGAGAGGCAGAGAGAGAGGGAGACACAGAATCAGAAATGGGCTTCAGGAGCTGAGCTGGCTGTCAGCAGAGAGCCCGACATGGAGCTTGAACCCACGAACTGTGAGATCATGACCTAAGCCGAAGTCAGACGCTTAACTGAACCATCCACGTGCCCCAGGTTGTTGCTGTTTTTTGCCCCACACAGCAAGCCAGGGCCATTCTTGTCTTGATGCCTCTGTTCTGAGCACTGCAAGTTAAATCCTTGTTTTCTAGGTTTTTTGTTTTGTTTGTTGGTTATCTTCCACACGTGTTCCTCTGGCGCAAAGGGGCCTGATGTGGTTGGGAGGTCAGTCTTCAGTCAAGGCCATCTGGTTTACCACTGATCCTAGGCAAGCGACGTAACCCCGACGTAACCCCTCCGTTTCCTTGTCTGTCAAATTGAGGATTACAGAGTTGTGAGGATTGCCCGAGGCAGGGTTTCCAGCACATAGTAAGTGCTCTGTAAAGGTCAGCTGCTCTTTTTGATTGCTTCCCAATAAACACCTTACAAGCAGTGTGGCTCAAGGTCAGGGAGAACTGTTTTTGTTTTGGTTTTGTTTTGAAACACAACCAAGACAGTGGGCTTAGCACTAGACCCAAGTTGACCTCAACACGGAAAAAGATGAAAGGAGACTATGATTACGGTATACCCACTATCTGCATTAAAATATAAACAGTCCATTGATTTTTTTTCCCAGATAGTTTTGAATACCCAGATAAGTGACAGTCTGACATAAAGAATTTTAAGTTTATTGACAATACACTATTTAAAAAATAATAATAAAAATAAATAAACTTTAAAAAAGAATTTTAAGTTTAGTTGAAATTTTGGTGTCCGTCAGACTCAAAGTGTTAAGAAATATAAAATGGGGTACAGGAAGAGTACACACAGAACGCACAACAGGAGACTATGGGGGCCAGGTAACCCCTTCAGTAGCCATCCTAAAGAATGACAAACGCATGTAAATTTCAACATGAGGCACTGCAGAAGAAAGACTGCTGACAATGAATCGTAAAAAAGATTATGAAATAACTTCAAAAAGAGCCATCCCACAAAGGAGCTAGTAGATGTTTGACGTGTAACATTTCCAACTACCTGTTTTAGCACACAGGTATTGTTTTAAAATGCAAATACAGCGTTAGAACTGTGGGGTTTAGATCAGAAAACCATGTGTGAATCTCATAGCTAATATTTATTTACTAGCTATACAAACGGGCAAGTTCCCTAGACTCTCAGACCTCCATGCTCTCATTCTTTTTTTTTTTTTTTTTTCTGAGAGAGACAGCATGAGCAGGGGAGGGTCAGAGAGAGGGA